CATATGCTACGGCTCGTTCATTCTCCGCGAAGATCTTTGCATGGATGGGATACGTGGCTTAATCAAACGAAGATAGTCGGACTGAGCCTGATGATGTTTGGTGTGTGGTTTCCTGGGCCACATTTCTGCCCACCTTGTCAACTAGGTCCCGTTTGACCAAGGGAACAAGTAAATGAGTGAATGCAGCTGCTACGGTTGATGACTCGTGCGCTAAATGACCCCGTTGCGCCTCAGAGCATACATATGCACACATATACATACACCCTCACATTCGAATGAGTAATTCGTTTAAGTGGATGAACAAATTTGATTCGGGACCTCATTTTTTATTCGTAATAAGGAATAGAGTGATAAATGAATCCGACCTCCCGAAGAGCCTACTCGCATCAATAACCTCAGCATCAATGTGACGAACAGTTTAGTTTTGCAGCGCTTGACGGTTACTTGATTACAGTCACTCCACCTTCTATCACATTACCCCACACCCGAGACGATGAATTTGTAATGCGATGATTCCCCACCTGAGGTAAATGTTGTAGGGACCAACCAAATTTGTTCGGACCGTGCAAGTGTTCTCTCTTTTCGGAGGACATTCAGAAATTAGCTCAAAACATGGTTAGAACAAGGTAAGTTGTCAGCACCTACCTGTCTTCTGATTGGTCAGCTTGAAATTATTGATCGAGATCTATCACGCAAGAAATAAAGAACTAAGAATCTTTTAGTAGCATTGTTTTTTTCATCTGATTGGAATCGATTGGTAGCACTTTTTGTGTTTTCTGTTTCGCGCATAAATTCCACACTTGAATCACATCCGTAACCGGAACGTTTTCATACCCGATCGTCCCTTTTTCCTCTTTGTTTTTAGACCGAATCCATGCATTTTCTTCACACTTGAAGTGATTTACTCTCAGCCGTTTTGGATGTATGCCGAATTTGAATAAATTCGTTCTTACGGAACCTCTATTCATGTGTAAAGTAATACAACTCACACATAGAAACCAGAATTTATTTTTCATTGGTCACCCAACAAGGTTTATGGGTGCTGGCGCGTTCAACTGCCGCTACTGTACTAAGTGTATCTAGAAGTCATAATAC